CCCACCTCAGCCTCCCAAGTAGTTGGGACTACAGGTGCACACCACCACGCCTTGCTAATTTTTTTGTATTTTTTGTAGAGATAAAGCTTTGCCATGTTACCTGGGCTTGTCTCAAACTACTGGGCTCAAGCATCCACCTGTCTCTGCTTCCCAGAATGCTGGGATTACAGGTGTGAGACACCATGCTTGGCCCTTCATTCCATTTTTTTTTTTTCAAGACAGAGTTTTACTCTTACATCCAGGCTGAAGTGAAGTGGTGAGATCTCTGCTCACTGCAACATCCTCCCCCCAGGTTCAAGTGATTCTCCTGCCTCAGCCTCCAGAATAGCTGGGATTACAGGCGCCTGTCACCACACCCTGCTAATTTTTTATTTTTAGTAGAGATGGGATTTTGCCATGTTGGTCAGGCTGGTCTTGAACTTCTGACCTCAGGTGATCCACCCGCCTCAACCTCCCAAAGTACAGGCGTGAGCCACCGCGCCCGGCCCCTTCATTCCTTTTTAAGGCTGAGTAAAATTCCCCTATATGGTTATATTACATTTGTTTATTCATTCATTGACCAAAAGCCCACTTGGGGCCAGGGATGGTAGCTCATGCCTGTAATCTCAACACTTTGAGAGGCCAAGGTGGGAGGATCACTTGAGCCTAGGAATTCAAGACCAGTCTGGGCAACATAGCAAGACCCCATCTCTTAAAAAAAAATTAGCCAGGCATGATGATGCATGCCTGTAGTCCCAGCTACTTGGGAGGCTGAAGTGGGAGGATCACTTGAGCCTGGGAAGTTGAGGCTGCAGTGAGCAGTGATCGCACCACTGCACTTGAGTCTGGGTGACAGAGTGAGACTGCCTCAAAAAATGTTTTAAAAAATACACTTGTATTGGCTGTTGCAAATGATGGTGCCATGAACATGGGTGTACAATCACGTGCTGTTCTTATGATACAACGCGGATGTGCTCGCCATGAACATGGGTGTACAATCACGTGCTGTTCTTATGATACAACGTGGATGTGCTCCCCACCAAAAGCTGGGGTCTATATTCCCTCTCCTTGCACCTGGGAAGGTTGTGACAGAAATGATGCTATGTGACTTCGAGGCTGGATCATCAGAGGTGACACAGCTTGCTCCTCGTCCTCTTCAGTGGCTCACTCTTGGAGCCCAGTCGCCATGTCGTGAGCAACTCAGACCAGACTTACAGGCCACATGTAGATGCTCCAGCTGGCAGCCAGCATCAACTACCAGAAAGAGGGAAAGAGTTTTCCAAGCAACCCCAGCCTCCGTGACTATCTGAGCCAGAAGCACCCAGGGAAGCCCAGTCGACCCCAGAGCCATGAGAGATGACAGAAATGACTGTTGCTGTTTCCGGCCACTGAGGTTGGGGTGTTTGGAGTACAGCCACTACAGGCATCCTACAAAGAGGTCTGCCCTGGGATGGGACCCCCCCCACATCCCACAGCCACCTCCCAACACAGGGCCAGAGACCCCAGGATCAGCAGGCCAGCATGACCATAAAGGAAGCCCAAGCTTTCCACCCTGTCAACCAGGAAGTCCCAGATGGGAGATAGTAATGTGAGAACAAAGGCAAACGTAAGCAACCTTGATGATGTGAAATAATAGTAAAGCTGATGGAAACGGGAGGTAGAGCAGGAAGGAGATTTCTTCATCTTGCACAGTGAGGGTCGTCATAAAATATCTACAGCAACAGAGATCTGGGGCAGGTCCAGGCTCCGCTGGGTGGCTGTAAGGTGGCTTGTTGGACTGACCTGAGTCACTGGTGTCACTAGTCCCTGAAATCACAGCATCTCCACTGCTCTGACAATGATAGGTTTAGAGGCTAGGCCCCAGCCTACTGGGTATACATTTCCTTTCGTGCTGGAGATGGACTCAGAATGCGCATGTGACCCTATGTGGGCCAGCAATTGGCCAGTGCAAGATCACTGGGGCTTCTGGGACCAGGGTTCTTATTTTCAAGATACAGCCGTGTGAAAAAATGGCCCCTAGCAACACACGAAGAGGGAAGCTCCACACTCCTATTGCTTGGCAGCCATCCTTCCGTCACTAAGGGAGCCAGCCTTAGGATAAAGCTGAGGGGTGGAGCAATGGAAGGTACTCAGGTCTCTGCGACAGTTTTTTGTTTTGTTTTGTTTTGTTTTGTTTTGTTTTGAGACAGAGTTTCACTCTTATAGCCCAGGCTGGAGTGCAATGACACAATCTCGGCTCACTGCATCCTCTGCCTCTTGGGTTCGAGCGATTCTCCTGCCTCAGTCTCCCAAGTAGCTGGCCCACCACCACACCCAGCTAATTTTTTTGTATTTTTAGTAGAGACGGGGTTTCACCATGTTGGCCAGGCTGGTCTCGAACTCCTGACCTCAGGTGATCCGCCTGCCTTGGGCTCCCAAAGTGCTGTGATTACAGGCATGAGCTACTGCGCCTGGCCCCAGCTAATTTTTATATTTTTAGTAGAGATGGGGTTTCACCATGTTGGCCAGGCTGGTCTTGAACACCTGACCTCAGGTGATCTGCCCACCTCAGCCTTCCAAAGTGCTGGGATTACAGGCAGGAGCCACTGCGTCCAGACTCTATGATGGTTCTGTAGAGCCTGTAAGCTGAACAGTCCTGGAGCCTACCTTACCTCTGAACATCCACTGGCATGAGCCAATAAATTGCTATATTAAGACCGTTCTAGTTGGAATTTTTTCCTTTTTTTTTTTGACAGGGTGTCACTCTGTCACCCAGGCTGCAGTGCAGTGGTATAATCATGGCTCACTGCAGTCTCAAACTCCTGGGCTCAAGCTATCCTCCTCCCTCAGCCTCCTGAGTAGCTTGCACTACAAACACGTGCCACCACATCTGGTGAATTTTTAAATTTTTCTTTTGTAGAGATGAAGTCTTGCTATGGTCACCCAGGCTAGTTTAGAACTCCTGGCCTCAAGTGATCCAACCACCTCGGCCTCCCAAAGTGCTGGGATTACAGGCATGAGCCACCATGCTCGACTGTTTCTTTCCTTTTTAAAACATTTTTTATTGAGATATAATTCCCAAAACATAAAATTAATCATTTTAAAGTTTATACTTCAGTGGCTTTTAGTATATTCCCTATGCTGTACATGCATCGCCACGATGTACAGAACATTTCCATTTCCCCAAAAGAAACCCCCAATCTGTTGGCAGTTATTCCCCACTTCTCCCCAACCCATGCCCTAGGTATCCACTAATCTACTTTCTGTCTCTGTGGGTTTGCCTATTCTGGACATTTCATAGAACTGGAATCACACAGTATGTGGGTTTTTGTGTCTGGCGTCTTCCAGGTTCATCGGTGCCATAGCCCGATTCAGCACCTCATTATCTGTGATGCTGAATAATATTCCTTTATTCTGTTTATCCATTTTTCTGTTGGTGGTCATTTGTGTTGCTTCCACTTTTGGGCTATTGTGAATAGTGCTGTTATGAACGTTCTTTTTTTTTTTTCTTTTTTTGAGACAGAGTCTTGCTCTGTTGCCCAGGCTGGAGTGCAATGGCGTGATCTCGGCTCACCGCAACCTCTGCCTACCAGGTTCAAGCAATTCTCCTGCCTCAGCCTCCTGAGTAGCTGGGATTATAGGCACCGCCGCCACGTCCAGCTAATTTTTTTGTATTTTTAGTAGAGACGGGTTTTCACCGTGTTGATCAGGCTGGTCTGGAACTCCTGTCCCCAACTGATCTACCCGCTTCAGCCTCCCACAGTGTTGGGATTACAGGCGTGAGCCACCGCACCCAGCCTGTTATGAACATTTGTGTACAAGTTTTTGTGAGGACATATGTTTTCCTTTGAGTACCTACAAGCAGAAGTGCTACGTCATAAGGTACTTCTATATTTAACGTTCTGAATTCCTGCTAAACTTTTCCACAGTAGCTGTACCACTTCATATTCTCACCAGCAATGTATGAAAGTTCGTTTTTCTACATTCTCACCATCACTTATTTTTTTAAAATTATTATTGTACTCATCCTAGTGGATGGGAAGTGGTACCTCATTGTGGCTTGAATTTGTATTTCCCTGATGACCAATAGTATTGAGTACCTTTCCATGTGCTTATTGGCCAGTTGCATATCTTCTTCAGAAAACTGTCTATTCAAATCCTTTGCCCATTTTCAAATTGAGTTATCTTTTTCTGCTTAGTTATAAGAGCTCATAAATATTCTCTATACTCAATACTTATGACATAGGTAATTTGCAAATATTTTTACCCATTCAATGAGTTGTCTTTTTACTTTACTGGTAGTGTCCTTTGATGCATATTTTTAATTTTGAGGAGGTCTAATTTATCTATTTTTTTCTTTGGTTGCTTATGTTTTTAGTGCCAAATCTAAATATTGCCTAATCTAAGATCATGCAGATTTTTACCTGTTTTCTTCTAAGAGTTTTATAGATTTGGCTCTTACATTTAGGTTATTTAGTTGACTTTCAGTTCATTTTCATATTAGCCCTAAGATAGAGTTCCAAGTTTATTCTTTAGTATGTGAATATCTGGTTGACCCAGCACCATATGTTGAAAAGGCTATTCTTTCTCCATTGAATGTTTTTGGCAAACATTCAATATCAATTGACATTAACATAAATGTATAGATTTATTTCTGGACTTTCAATTCTATTCTGTATCTATACTCATGCCAATATCACACAGTAATGATTACTCTCTCTCTCTCATATATATATACACATACTTTTTGTTGTTGTTTTTTTGTTTGTTTGTTTGTTTTTGAGACAGAGTCTCACTTGGTCACCCAGGCAAACTGGAGTGCAGTGGCACGATCTCAGCCCACTGCAACATCCACCTCCCAGGCTCAAGCAATCCTCTTGCCTCAGCCTCCTGAGTAGCTGGGATTATAGGCACTTGCCACCAAACCCAGCTAAGTTTTGTATTTTTAGTTGAGACGGGGTTTCACCATGTTGGCCAGGCTGGTCTCAAACTTCTGACCTCAAGTGATCTGCCTGCCTCGGCCTCCCAAAGTGCTGGAATTACAGGCATGAGCCACTGCACCCCGCCGATTACTATAGTTTTGTAGTAAGTTTTGAAATGGAGAAGTGAATCTTCTAACATTGTTCTTGTTGAAGATTGCTTTGGTTCTTCTGGTCCCTTGCAGTTCCAAATGAATTTTAGAATCAGCTTGTCCATTTCTGGGAGAAAAAAAAAAAAAAGTTGAAATTTTGATAGGGATTGCATTAAATTTGAAGATCTTAATGTTAAGTCTTCTAGTCCATGAATATAGAATATCTTTCCATTTTCTTTCAACAATGTTTTGAAGTTTTTGTATACCAGCCTTGCACTTTTTTTTTTTTTTTTTTTTTGAGACGGAGTCTTGCTCTGTCGCCCAGGCTGGAGTGCAGTGGCCGGATCTCAGCTCACTGCAAGCTCCGCCTCCCGGGTTTACACCATTCTCCGGCCTCAGCCTCCTGAGTAGCTGGGACTACAGGCGTCCGCCACTTCGCCTAGCTAGTTTTTTGTATTTTTAGTAGAGACGGGGTTTCACCATGTTAACCAGGATAGTCTCGATCTCCTGATCTCGTGATCCGCCTGTCCCGGCCTCCCAAAGTGCTGGGATTACAGGCTTGAGCCACCGCGCCTGGCCTGCACTTCTTTAATTAAATTTATTTCTAAGAATTTAAGGAGTATTCTTTTGATGCTATATTTTCTTAATTTGATTTTCAAATTGTTCATTGCTGGTAGATAGAAATGCAACTGGTTTTGTATATCAATCTTGTATACTGCAACTTTACTAAACTCACTTATTAGCTCTACCAGTTTTTCTGCAGATTCTTTTTTTTTTTTTTTTTTGAGATGGAGCCTTGCTCTGTCGCCCAGGCTGGAGTGCAGTGGTGCGATCTCAGCTTACTGCAAGCTCCACCTCCCAGGTTCACGCCATTCTCCTGCCTCAGCCTCCTGAGTAGCTGGGACTACAGGCGCCCGCCACCACACCTGGCTAGTTTTTTGTATTTTTAGCAGAGACAGGGTTTCACTGTGTTAGCCAGGATGGTCTCGATCTCCTGACCTCGTGATCCATCCGCCTCAGCCTCCCAAAGTGCTGGGATTACAGCCGTGAGCCACCATGCCCGGCCCTGCAGATTCTTTAGGGTTTGGTTTTGTTTTGTTTTGACAGGGTCTTGCTCTGCCACCCAGGCTGGAGTGCAGTGGCATGATCATGGCTCACTTAATCTTCCAGGCTTAGGTGATCCTCCCACCTCAGTCTCCTAACTAGAACTACAGGTGTGTGCCACCATGCCCAGCTAATTTATTGTAGAGACGGGGTTTTGCCAGACTGCCTGGGCTGATCTTGAACTCCTGGACTCAAGCAATCCACCCACCTCAACCTCCCAAAGTGCTGGTATTAAAGGTATAAGCCACCATGCCCAGCTTCTTTGGGGTGTTCTTTAAACAAGATCATGTCATCTGCAAATGGAGACTGTTTTACTTCTTTCTCTCCAATCTAGATGGCTTTTTGTTATTTTTTCTTGTCTAACTGCCCTGCCTAGAATTTCTAGTACAATGTTAAGTAAGTGGCAAGAGTGGCCATCTTTGTCTTGTTCCTAATCTCAGGGGAAGGCTTTCAGTTTTGTACCATTAAGTATGTTAGCTGTGGGTTTTTTTCATAGATTCCCTTTATCAGACTGTGCGAGTTCCCTCCTTTGCCTAGTTTGTTGCATGATTTTTATCACTAAAGGGTATCCTGACTTTGTTAAAGGTTTTTTTTTTCCTTTTTTTTTGAGACAGAGTTTCACTCCTGTTGCCTAGGCTGGAGTGCAATGGTGTGATCTCGGCTCACCGCAACCTCCGCCTCCCAGGTTCAAGCAATTCTCCTGCCTCAGCCTCTACAGTAGCTGGGATTACAGGCACCTGCCACCATACCCAGATAATTTTTTTGTATTTTTAGTAGAGACGGGGTTTCACCATGTTGGTCAGGCTGGTCTCAAACTTGTGACCTCAGGTCATCCACCCACCTTGGACTCTCAAAGTGCTGGGATTACAGGCGTAAGCCACCACACCCTGCCTGTTAAATGTTTCTTTGTCAAATTCTTTTGTGACTATTTAAATAACCTTGTGGTTCTGTCCCTTTATTCTATTAATATGATGTATTACATTGATTGGGCTCTGTATTTTAAACCAATCTTGCATTCCTGGGATAGATTCCACTTGGTCATGGTGTACAATCCTTTAACATGTTGCTGAATTTGGTTTGTTAGTTGTTCGTTAAGGATTTTTGAATCCAAATTTACAAGGGATATTGGTCTGTATTTTTTATTGTGATGTCTTTGTCGAGCTTCACAGCATTAAGTCAAAAGTGTTCCTTCCTCTTCTCTTTTTTTGGACACATCTGAGAAGTACTGGTGTTAACTCCTCTTTAAACATTTGGTGGAATTTGCCAGTAAAGCCATCTGATCCTCTGATCCTGGGCTTTTCTTGCTAGAACAATTTTTTTTTTTTCTACTACTTCTCAATTCATCAAATTTGGGAAGATTTCAGCCTTTATTTCTTACTGAGAATGAGCCATTTCTCTTGAATGTTTTCCTCATGTTGCTGCAAGCCTGTTTTTGTTTGTTTGCTTTTGTTTTTTTAAGATAGGTCTTGCGCCGGCGTGGTGGCTGACGCCTGTAATCCCAGCACTTTGGGAGGCCGAGGTGGGGATCACAGGCAGAGATCGAGACCATGGTGAACCCCGTTCTACTAAAATAGAAAAATTAGCGGGCGAGGGCGGGCGTTAGTCCAGCTACTCGGAGCTGAGGCAGGAATGGCGTGAACCCGGGAGGCGGAGCTTGCAGTGAGCCGAGATTGCGCCACTGCACTCCAGCCTGGGCGACAGAGCGAGACTCGTTCTCAAAAAAAAAAAAAAAAAAAGATAGGACTTGCTCTGTTGCCCAGGCTGGAGTGCAGTGGCATGATCTCAGCTCACTGAAACCTCTGTGTCCCGGTTCGAGCGATTCTCCTGCCTCAGTTTCCCAAGTAGCTGGGGTTACTGGCATGCGCCACCACGCCTGGCTGGTTTGTTGTTTTTTTGTTTGTTTGTTTTTGCATTTTTAGTAGATACTGGGTTTCGCTCTAAGACTGGTCTCAAACTGCTGATCTCAAGTGACCCATCTGACTCGGCCTCCCAAAATGCTGGAATAATAGACATGAGCCACCACGCCCAGTCTGCTGCAAGCCTTTTAATGTCCAGAGCTATAAAAAAAAAAAGTTGATTTTTGAGTTTTTTCCCTTTTTTCATTGTTTTTGTGAAGGGGTGAAATTTGTATTTCTTCATCCTCCATCTTCATTGATGTCCCTCCTTAGCTGGATTTCTGATAGGGCAGACACAAATGCCCCAACTCACAAGACACTTATTTAGTTATAAGGATGATGGTTCTCAAACTTTAGTGAACACAATTAACTAGGGGAGACTATTATAAATGCATATTCCTAGGTCCCACCACAAATTCCGATGAGTTTGTCTGTGGCCTGGGGACCTGCATTTTGAAAGCACTGGATTACAAGATCTAAAAGTAACGAACAAATTGGGAGGTTGAGAGGAGGAAAGGTTGTATAAATATGTTAACTTCACATTGATTTCATACAATAGAGCCAAAAAAAACTACACAGTTGAGAAATCAAGATGTGGGGTGTATGCTTTAGAGTTACGAAGGCAACCACTGTAAGAACTAGAAACAAAAATAGTTAAGACAGGCCACCTTCAGGGAGTGGAGCTGAAGTAAGACAGGGCAATTTTAAATTTTCTTTATAGTTTGAGCTTTCTTTCTCAAATACAGCTGTTATCTTTATAATAAAACAAACACAAAAATGACAAGAAAATCAGTAAAAGGGGGCTACTGGCCAACAATTCTGTCTTTCCTTCCCAGTGCCTCTGCCAGCATAGTCATCCATCCACCAGCAGCTATGGCCCAGGGGCGTGCAGCCTGGCTCCTCGGAATGGCACATGGAGCTGGGCTCCTCCCAGGAGCCACATTCCTTCCCACCTCCCGCCAGAGGCAGGCATGGGCAACTGAATGCAAACAAGATGAAGAGGACACTGTAATCTTAGCAATTGTTAGCTGCCAGCCGCAGGCATAACCTGGAGTCACAGAGCCCTGGACTCAAGGTCAAAAGAGACCTACACAAGGTCACATAGTGACCCAGTCCTTACCAGAACCAGTAGTCTTTGGAGCTTAAAACAAGTATAGGCCAGGCGTGATGGCTCATGCCTGTAATCCTAGCACTTTGGGAGGCCGAGGCAGGCAGATTTCTTGAGCTCAGGAGTTCGAGACCAGCCTGGGGAACACGGTGAAACCCTGTCTCTACTAAAGTAATAAAGAAATTAGCCAGCTTCGTGGTGTGTGCCTGTAGTCCCAGCTACTTGGGAGGCTGAGGCAGGAGAATTGCTTGAGCCAGGGAGGTGGAGGTTGCAGTGAGCTGAGATCGCACCACTGCACTCCAGCGCGAGATAGAGCAAGACTCCATCTCTAAAAAATAAAATAGGGCCGGGCGCAGTGGCTCAAGCCTGTAATCCCAGCACTTTGGGAGGCCGAGATGGGCGAATCACGAGGTCAGGAGATCGAGACCATCCTGGCTAACACAGTGAAACCCTGTTTCTACTAAAAAATACAAAAAACTAGCCGGGCGAGGTGGCGGGCGCCTGTAGTCCCAGCTACTTGGGAGGCTGAGGCAGGAGAATGGCGTAGACCCGGGAGGCGGAGCTTGCAGTGAGCTGAGATCCGGCCACTGCACTCCAGCCTGGGAGACTCCGTCTCCAAAAAAAATAAAATAAAATAAAATAAAATAAAATAAAATAAAATAAATAAGCATAAATCTAAAACACTTTGCTTGGAAGCTGGCCTCAGGTTTAGCTTATACCATAAATTCACCTGCCAACTGTTTCAGAGGTCTGGAACATGCAAGTGGGGATGGCCGATTCTGAGGGAGGTATGGGCATGTGACAGCTGTGCCCTCTGAGCTGTGGGGGAATGTGGCTTCCCCGATCCCTGGGCTCTGGAGGGCTGTTTTCTGGGTGAAGGTGATCCAGACCATTCAGGCCAAAGCCCCAGTGCCAGAGACTCATTGTCCTTCCCACGGTGGAGACGTTTCTCCCTCTCAAGACATCCTGCACTAGCATGGGACGGGCTCCTCCACTCCACAGTGCCTGGAATCCATGTGGGCAGGGATGAGGAGGGAGGCAGCTGTTAGTGGGAAGCGAGGCTGTGGGACTCCAGCGTTCTGGACAGCCCCAGCCAGAGGTGACACTACTCTGATGTGCTGAGTGGCTGACTGGTTTTCTCACAACTCCATGAGAATCCGGGGCAGGCCATGATAGTGGGGAAGGCTTTCAGATGACGCAGCACTGGAGCTGGACCTGCTGGCTGGGCAAGCTTCAGACACAGGAGGGTGGTGGCTTGTCCCTTGCTGTAACAGGCAGAAAATGTAATGATGTGACACGCCCCACCTGGGCCCATCTTGCCTCTGGCTCTGCAGGCCTCCTGAAATCAGCTCTAGGAGGCCCAGGGAACCCCACAGGCAACACCAGATTTGACCCCACCGAGGAGGCCATACCAGGTCCCAGTCCACAAGATGAACACTGTGCTCTTTAAAAAGAACCCCTGTCTTTGTTGGTGTTAGTTCCCAGCCAGTGAAGTCACAATGATGGTAGCAACCAGTACCATCACCTGGTACCTGAGTGCCAGGCACGGCTCCGAGGGATGCACACACACAATGCTACCCCTCAGCCCCAGCCATCCATGGACCCTGTGGAAAGGAAGGCATGGAGACACATCGCAGGACTTGAGAGTGGCAGAATCAGGATCTAGGTGGGTAGTCAGCTCCAGTGGGGGGTTCACGGCCCCTCGCTCCTCTGCCCTTACCTTCACCCATGAGAATGTGACCAATCATCTCTGTAGCTGCAGAGGCCAGCAAAGGGTGAGACTCCTAATTCCAGTGCATATTTGCTGAAAGAGAGAATGAAAATGAGTACCCGCATATCTCAGGTACCTACAACAGACTGTCATTATAACTGCAAGGGACAGAGTGAACTTAATAGACACCAACATGTCCTCAGCAGTTCCAACAAAACAAATGGTGACAAGTACCAAGTCAGTATGACCTACTAGTCTCCATAGTAACTGGAGGTCAAAATGAAGAGGCAGGACATTCCAGAACAGTACGGACGCACCAAAGGAACAGGCAAAAATGCGCACCTCCTTCTTCTTCTTCTCAAAAGTATGTGTACTGGTTTTCTGTTGCTGCCATACAAATTACCATAAATTAAGCAACTTAAAATAATACATCCCAGTGCTTTGGGAGGCCAAGGCGGGAGGATCACTTGAGCCCAGGAATTCGAGGGTGCAGTGAGCTATGATCAAGCCACTACACTCCAGTCTGGGTGACAGAGTGAGACGCTGTCTCTAACAACAGCAAAGCCCAGTTCTGGCGGTAAAGGTGGCATTTCATAGCAATGGGAAGGTGCAGGGTGATCCTGGCAGGGCACGTGATGAGGGTGTGGAGGCAGCGCCTGGGAAACATCCATGTCAATACGATCACAGAAACAATGGCAGCTCCCTCGCGACTGAAGCAAAGTAGAAAATGCACCGATGAAGGTGGAGGGTGCAGAATGCAACCCAAAGTACAGAAGAGGTGAGGGTGCAGAAAATTATGGGCAAGAAACAATGCTCTCAGGTTCTAGATTTGTGGTCTTAATTGAATCATAATTTGGAGAGTCTTTTTTTTTTTTTGAGATAGTCTCGCTCTGTCGTGTAGGCTAGAGTACAATGGCGCCATCTCAGCTTACTGCTACCTCCGCCTCCCCGGTTCCAGTGATTCTCCTACCTCAGCCTCCTGAGTTGCTTAGATTATAGGCACGCACCACCATGCCCAGCTAATTTTTGTATTTTTAATAGGGACTGGGTTTTACTATGTTGGCCAGGCTGGTCTTGGACTCCTGACCTCAGATGATCCACCCGCCTCGGCCTCCCAAAGTGCTGGATTACAGGCATGAACCACTGTGCCTGGCTGGAGAGTCCATTTGGGCCACGTGTGGTGGCTCATGCCTGTAATCCCAGCACTTTGGGAGGCCAAGGCGAGTGGATTACCTGAGGTCAGGAGTCCAGGACCAGCCTGACCAATATGGTGAAACCCTGTCTCTACCAAAAATACAAAATTTAGCTGGGCATGGGGGCACGCACCTGTAGTCCTAGCTACTCGGGAGGCTGAGACAGGAGAACTGCTTGAACTCAGGAGGCAGAGGTTGCAGTGAGCTGAGATCATGCCACTGCACTCTAGCCTGGGCAATAGAGTGAGACTCCGTCTCAAAAAAAAAAAAAAAATTGTTTTTGTACAGATGGAGTCTCACTGGGTTGCCCAGGCTGATTTCAAACTCCTGGCCTCAAGCGATCCTCCCACCTTGGTCTCCCAAAGTGCTGGGATTACAGGCATGAGCCACCTTGACCAGCCAAATAAACTCTTTTAGACTGTTCCCAGGACAAGTTTAGGGCAAATGTTCCACAAACCATTACATGTAAGCACATGTGTGATTATGACTGAACTTTCACCTGATTTGTGAGGCCCCACAGTAGCCTCAGAAGGAAAGAGCCTGGCCCCTCAGACTGCAGGGAGGTGAGTATTCCATGCTCACCTGGGCCACCTCCACCTCCTGCAGCTCAAGGGCTCAGCCTGGTGGGTGCTGGTCCCCAGGGTGCAAAGGAGGAGCCAGCTTCTGTCTTGCATGGGTTGATGGCCATGCAGTTTGATTTCTTCTTTGAGTCAAAAGAATCCCGTCAGGGCCAGCCTGCAGCTGCCCTCCTGTCTTGGAAGACTAAGAACTGCACCCCGCTCCTGCAAGCTCGTCCATAGCCCCAGCAATGCCACGTGCTGCCTTCCTTTGCTGCATACTGGTCTTGGCCACCTGCTATCACCATGTGGCTTCTCCCATGCCCTGGTCCTTGCCCCTGCGGCATTTAAGCACATCTCCGCACGCGCTCAACACTGCAGTGCAGCCACTTTTGTGTGCTTCTGATCTCAGTGAGTTTGCATGCTCAAGAAGCCGCAGAGCAGCCATTGCTGTGTGCTTCTGATCTCGGTGAGTTCGCATGCTCAAGAAGCCTTTGGCACAGAGTTTATGACCTCAGGCCCTCCAGTTCAGTGGGCTTAGGTTCACCCCAGACCTGTTCTATTTACTAGCTAAGTGCAATTCTCTTAACCTCAGTGAGCTCATCTAGTTATATACAGAATGGTGATGGCAGTACCTACCTTATAACATTGGACTGATTCACCCAGCAAACATACCTTGGGCACCTTCCGGTGCTCTCTGTGTGGGGGTACAGCTGAACTGCTGCAGGGTGACAATGGAACTAGAGCTGGGGCGGGGGCTGGGGGCTGCAGGGGCTGGCCCAGGCAGGACCTTCAGTGCCTGGCTAGGAGCCTTGGACTCTGTCCTCAGAGCAGTGGGAACCCACTGGAGGGCTTCAGTTGCAGGGTGGGAAGGGTGATGGGGTATGCCAGACTCATCTGAACAAAGCCACAGTCTTTGTGGAGGGGGCAGCAACTAGAGCCCCGGGGACTACACAGGCAGCTGTTTGCAAGGATTCTGCAGGCAAAAGTAGTGTGGGGGGAAACAGGATGAACTTGAAACTTAGGGTGACAGGTGGGCGTGTAAATTCGTTCAACCTTTATGGAAAACAGTATGAAGATTTCTCAAAGAACTGAAAATTAAACTACCATTCGCTCTGGCAATTCCATTGTTGGGTATCTAAAGGAAAAGAAATCATTACATCAAAAAGACACCTGTATTTGTATGTTTATTGCAGTACTATTCACAACAGCAAAGACACAGAATCAGCTTAAGTGTCCATGGATGGATGAATGAAGAAAGCAAACATGGCATATGTACACAATGGAATACTATTTGGACTTAAAAAAGAATAAAATCATATCTTTTGCAGCAGCAAGGATGAAGCTGGAGGCTATTATCTTAAGTGAAACAAGCTGGACACAGAAAGACAAATACCACAGGTTCTCACTTATAAGTGGGAGCTAAATAACATGTACACAAGGACATAGAGTGTGAAATGATAGACAATGGAGACTTTGAAGGGTGAGGGGTGGGAGGGGGTGGCTGGTGAGAAGTCACTTAATGGGTACAGATATTTGGGTGATACCCTAAAAGCCCACACTTCACCAATATACAATCTATGGATGTAACAAAACTGCACCTGTACCCCATAAATTCATACAAATAAAAAAGAAATTTAGGTGATAAGAGCTACGGGCCTTGGTTACCAGTCCTGCGCATGTGCATGAGTGTGTGATTTGTGGTGTCACACCGTGTCAGGAAGCCAATCGGGGCACTGGGAGAGGTGATAAACTGGAATTTGGAAATGCTGAATTTGCGGTGCCTGTGAGGTAGAAAGTGAGGAAGTCCAGCAGCAATGGGCTAGACATCTGGAATTTAGGAGAGATCTTAATGGAAGAAAAATATTTGGGAATTAGGGTTTTCAGGGGGTAACTGGCAGAGAATTGAGGGAGGAGATGGCGTGGGGTTAATAACGTGATTATATCTTCTTTTTTTTTTTGAAATGGATTCTCGCTCTGTTGCCCAGGCTGGAGTGCAGTGGTGCAATCTTGGCTCACTATAACCTCTGCCTCCCAGGTTCAAGCAATTCTCTGCCTCAGCCTCCTGAGTAGCTGGGATTACAGGTGCCCACCACAATGCCCGGCTAATTGTTTGTATTTTTAGTAGAGATGGGGTTTCACCATCTTGGCCAGGCTGGTCTTGAACTCCTGACCTTATGATTCACCTGCCTCAGCCTTCCAAAGTGCTGGGATTACAGGCATGAACCACTGCACCTGGCCCATATCTTCTTCTTCTTCTTTTTTTTTTTTTTTTTGAGATGTAGTCTCGCTCTGTTGCCCAGGCTGGAGTGTAGTGGCACAATCTCAGCTCACTGCAAGCTTTGCCTCCTGGGTTCACGCCATTCTCCTGCCTTAGCCTCCCGAGTAGCTGGCACTACAGGCACCCTCCACCACACCCGGCTAATTTTTTGTATTTTTAGTAGAGACGGGGTTTCACGATATTAGCCAGGATAGTCTTGATCTCCTGACCTCATGATCCGCCTGCCTTGGCCTCCCAAAATGTTGGAATTACAGGCAGGAGCCACTGCGCCCGGCCCCATTCCCATTCTTGTTTCCAAAGGACTGTATCAGCTGTACTATCACCCCTGTAGGGACACGCCCTCAAACACCAAGGACTCCATTTTACAGACAAAAAATTGCAAAGTATAACAGTTGCACTTTGAGTATCTGCTGATCAAGAGAATACATAATGATAAAAGTGCATTATAAGTTCAGCAGCCTAGGATTTTTTTATAATTTTTTTTTTTTTTAAAGACAGGGTCTTGTCATGTCCACACTGATCTCAAACCTCTGGGCTCAAGTGATCTGCCTGTGTTGGCCTCCCAAAGTGCTAGAATTACAGGCATGAGCCACTATGCCAGGCCAAGCTCAGCAATATCTTAAGTGAGTCTGTATTTTATTAACTGCGATGACATCTATACACATTTGGAAAATACAGTATTGTGTCCACATGTTCTGTAGAAGCTTTGTTATATTAATTTAACGATAAATGCAAATTACTGAGCTATCTGATCTCAGGAGGTATAAATTACTTTCTCTAATTGCTGCCTTCAATCAATTTCTGTCAAATTTCCCTTATTTCCCTTAACAATACTTTGGGCAGATCCCGTAAGTTCCCAAGCAGTTATTCAAAGTCCAGTCAGTTCAATCTCAAATACAAGGTAAGCCTTTGCCCACTCCCATCACCACCTGGGTTTATGGCTTAGGACACTTTAAGAGAACAGGTGGGATGTGCTGCCTCAGAATTCCCACCACTCTCCTTAGGGTCTCCCTTCTCTGATGTCAGGTCATGGAGAATGAATTAGGGAAAAGGGCAAAAATCTTTCCATCCACAGGGTCACTGGCTGTATTTTTCTCAGGCTAACACTAATTCAATTTTTTTAAATTGAGGTATACTTTACTTATAACAAAGTTTACCAATTTTAAGCACACATTTTAATTTTTGACAAATAACTACCACCATTATGATACAAAATATTTTCACTGCCGAGCCCACTTTGTGCTCCATGCAGTCAATCCTTTCCCCCAACACCCAGCCCCTAAGTACTCATCTGCTTTCTCTCACCACAGTGTTGGCTTTCTGGAATTTCACAGTACGCAGCCCTTGGTGTCTGGCTTCTCCTGCTGAGCCTGACAAACGTGAGACTCCTTGCCACGTGCAGCAGCAGTCTGGTCCTTTATTCTGCCGAGTGGTATTCCACTGTATGGATCCACTTGTTCCACTTTTTTTTTTTTTTTTTTTTTTGAAACGGAGTTTCACTCTGTCACCCAGGCTGGAGTGCAGTGGTGCGATCTCGGCTCACTGCAACCTTTACCTCCTGGACTCAGGTGACTGTTCCACTTCAGCCTCCCGAGCAGCTGGGACTACAGGCATGCACCACCACACATGGCTAACTTCTTTTTTGTTTGTAGAGATGGGGTTTTGCCATGTTACCCAAGCTGGTCTCAAACTCCTGGGCTCAAGTGATCTGCCCACCTCGGCCTCCCAAAATGCTAAGACACTGCATTCAGCCTGTTTGTAATTTTCTTTTTTTTTTTTTTTTTTTTTTTTTTTGAGACGGAGTCTCGCTCTGTCGCCCAGGCTGGAGTGCAGTGCAGTGGCGCGATCTTGGCTCACTGCAAGCTCCACCTCCCGGGTTCACACCATTCTCCTGCCTCAGCCTCCCGAGTAGCTGGGACTACAGGCGCCCACAACCACGCCCGGCTAATTTTTTGTATTTTTTAGTAGAGACGGGGTTTCACCGTGGTCTCGATCTCCTGACCTTGTGATCCGCCCGCCTCGGCCTCCCAAAGTGCTGGGATTACAGGCGTGAGCCACCGCGCCCGGCGTAATTTTCTTACACAGCCAAATTAGTTCTTTATGTATTCTGAGTAGAAATCCTTTATATGTATTTAGATTTTCTCCTAGTCTGTAGCTTGCCTTTCATTGTCTAAATGAGATCTTATTAAAAATTAATTTTCTCTGGGTTTATTGAAGTATAACTTACATTTAATAACACTCACCCTTTTTAGGCAGAGTTCTGTGAATTCTACCACTACAATCAAGATACAGAATTTTCCCATCACCCTCCCAAAATTTCCCTATACCCTCTTCTAGTCAATCCCCTCCCCTCAAATGCAACCCCTGGCAACCAACCACTGGCCTAATAGTGTCTTTTGAAGTGGTCAAAGTTTAAAATTTGATGCAGTACAATTAATCAATTTTTAAAATTATGTGTCTTAGTCTGTTTGTGCTGCTATAACAAAATACCTGAAACTGGATAATTTGTAAACAACAAATTCATCACTTACAGTCATAGAGGCTGGGAAGTCCAAGATCAAGGCACCTGCAGGTTTGGTGTCCAGTGAGGGCCCACTCTCTGCTTCCAAGATGGTGCCTTGTTGTGTCCCCTCGAGGATATGAACACTGTGTACTCACGGTGAAAGAGATGGAAAGGCATAAAAGGGCTAGCTGGTTTCTTTGGGCCCTTTTATAGGGGTACTAATCTATTCATGAAGTTGGAGTCCTCATGATCTAATTCCTCCCTAAAGTCTTAAACTCAAGTAGCTTAAGTTCTCCAACTAGCTGTTTTTGATCTCTGTGAGGCCAGTCTGTACAGTGACTTTCTTCTTTCTTTCTTGTTTTGAGATGGAGTCTCGCTCTGTCACCCAGGCTGGAGTGCAATGGCATGATCTCGGCTCACTGCAACCTCTTCCTCCCGGGTTCAAACGATTCTCCTGCCTCAGCCTCCTGAGTAGCTGGGATTACAGGCAAGTGCCACCACGCCTGGCTAATTTTTGTATTTTTAGTAGAGACGGGGTTTTACCACGTTGGTCAGGCTGGTCTCGAACTCCTGACCTCGTGATCCACCCACCTCAGCCTCCCAAAGTGTTGGGATTACAGGCATGAGCCACCGCACCCAGCCCCACTGACTTTCTTTCATGGGGAGTTGATGTAAGTTTTTCCAAAGGCTCTGCAGGGTATCCTCAGTGTACAGTGTTCTGATATGGGAAACGGGCTCTAGCTCAACCTCCTTCACTCCCAACTCCAACTAGTTTTGCCATCAGTGTTACTCCCTATTGCTGCTTGCTTCACAGCCTCTGGCCTAGTGGATGGGGTCTGGCATTGGACAGCACAAGCAATGACAGGCAAGCCCCTGAAGACCCCTGCCCAGAGGTCTCTCTTTTAGTTTTCTCGATTTCTTCAAAGGCAAGTATAAGGGCAGTCTAGCAAGCTCACACTGTCCAAGCAGACATCCAATCAGGGAAGATGCCAGCCTCTCTTTTTAGGCATCTGAAGTCATTATGGTAACTCTCTTGGAGCTACACCTTATTGGCTTTAGTAATAGCACAGCACCCTCCCTATTTCTGCACCCAGGAGGCTGCTTAGGGAAACTCCTACCCTTCCTCCCACCCCATCCCTCTCCTGTTGCCCAGTTAAGCCTGAGGGTAGGGTGGTGGCAGTTCAGAATGACAGGGCTGGCTCTTCAGCCCTCTAACGATAAGTTCTGGGTGCTGCTATGTTGTGCTGCCTTTACAGTGTGGGATACTGAATGCCTCTGGGTACTCACCTTTGTGCCCTGACTCACTAATTCCAGGGTAACAGGAAAAGGCTCATTAAACGTTCCGTTACATGTAGCTCTAATAAAAACAGCAATAATAACACCAAAACACTCACACAGTGCTTGCCAGGCACCAGTGTCTTTCTCTACTTATGTTAACTCATTTCCTCTTCACAACAACCCACCCCGTTAAGTAGGATCAGTAACCCCTTTGCACAGCTGAGGAAACTGAGACATAGAAGCAGTAAACTGCCCCAGTTCACAGGGATAGAGAGCCAGAGAGCTGCAATCCAACTCGGGGAGTTTGGCTGGAGTCCACGCTGTGCTGCTTTCCACATAAGAGAGACAGAGAAAAGCTGCACCTGCAAGATCCATGGTTTCGGCTGCGTATTTGAATAATGAAGTCAGCAGTCGGGAGCAAGGAGAAAGCACACATCTGCAGCCGCATCTCTGTCCCTGAGCGCTCCCCCACACTGCCAGACCATGGCGGTAGAGGGGAGTCCCGCGTCCTGACCCCCGGCAGCCGCGCACTGGGGGGCCCTCAACCTCCGGGTTACTTGAGGGCACTCTGTAGCCACCCACGGAGAAGAAACGACGGCGGCGGTCACCCTTCCCCACTCCAGCCGCCTGCGGTCCCGCTACCCCTCGGCCAGGACGCGTAGCAGCAGTCACTAGGCCAGGTGGCCCCAAGTTGCGTGCAAGAGCGACGGCTGCGCATGTGCGCGGCGTGCGTGGTGCGTGCGTGCTGACGCGGGTGTCTGCTCCAACGTGGGGGTCACTAGACAGCAACTGCCTTCCAAGTTCTCGTATCAGCTGCGGGAAGGACAGAATGGTTCCAGTCACCCGAGTGTGGAAGGAGACCCAATGCTCAGCAAATGCACGGACTTGAGTCCCTAGGAGCGGGGCGGCCATGGTGCGGAAGCAGCTGGCACGGCCCCCTCAACCGCGGACCCCTGGGGTTCTCACTGCCGACCCGCGCGCGTTCAGTGCTGCGCATAAGTAAGATTTCCAATTGGAAGGCCTAGGTCCCAGCTTTGCCCCGCACCACACCGTGGCTTTGGGCCAGACACGTCATAGCCCTGGAGCTCTTTCTCCCCATTGTTGAGATGAAGAGGGTGCACGAGGTGTTCGACGCAGCAAGGTTAAATGGAAGGAAACGGGGTGGCCACTTAAGTGAGTGGTTGCACGCGCTTGCGTTGGGTGCTGCAGCCTGGAGCCAGGAAGGTGGGGCAGGGACCTTGTGGTGTAAGGAGTGGCAGTGAAAGTGCCTGGGGTCAGAGGGAGGCAGGGGATGAGTTCTGAGTGGGAGGAGGGGCAGCTCAGGTTTCATCAAACAGATGACCTCTGAACCAGAACTTGAAGGATGAGAAGGCACATGACTGAGAGGGGCGATGGCCCTGGGAGCATCCTGGCACAGCGGGTGCTGAAAGCCTGCATAGAGCATAGATGTGTCTAGAGAGTTCTGGGATTGATCGCTAGCGCAGTGTTGGGCTCATGAGGAGGCAAGAGGTGGGCTTGGAGCTGGAGGTGGGAAAGGCATGGGGAGTGTCTTGAAAGCCCCCTTCACCTGCTGGTCTTGAAACACTGCAGAGGGTCTTTAGGCATGGAATTTATATGAGATGTGTGTTTCAGTAAAGTAACCGACAGGAACTACACAGGAATTGTAATTGTACAAAGGGGATTTCGGAGGAAGGAAGTTAGTCTCAGTCCAGGGAATAACGAAGGCCTGGGCTCAGGAGTTCAGTGGGGAAGGATAAAGAAGCAGGATTCCAGAGAGATTTTGGGCCTAGTAATTGACAGGCTCCCGATTAGAGCAGAATCTAAGATGATGCCTGGGTTTGGAAGACTGGGTGAACTGAATCATTAAGACACTGAAGTGTCTACCAAGTGCAGACCTTGTGCCAGGTACTCAGCATCCAAAGATCAAAAAAGACCTAGACTCTGCCCTCAGATATTTCTACTTGAATAGGGCAGGTGGACACATAACTAGATAATTGTATCTATACCTTGTGATGTGGAGGATTACAGCTGTCCCTGCCTGACCTGGAGCTGGGGGTGAGGGCAGGGGGGCTTCCTAGAGAAGTGGAGCCTGAGCTTGGCAGAAATGGGAGTTCACAGGCAGTGTGAGATGGGTCCCCTAGGTACAGTAAGAACGCAAGCAGGAAGCCCAGGGAGTTTGTGGTGTGTTTGGAGAACTAGAAGCAGATGCTGGAGTGTAAAAGGAGAGCTTGACTTTTATTCTCCAGAGGGTGGGGAGCCATTGCAGAGCCTTAGGTAGAGAAGGGCCTGGTCAGATTTGGGTTTAGGGCAACTTACCCTGGTGCCTTGTGGAGAACGGTTGTAAAGGGGAGAAGCTAGGAGGGAGAGGTGGCTGTAGGAAGTGCTGGTGAAAGAGAGTGGAAGCTGGAGCTGACACAGGGAGTTCAGGAAGGAGAGAGGGGTGGGGGATGGTGGGGTGGGGAAGTGAAGGATGAGGAGGGAGGGCAGAGGTGAGGTCAGTGCTGCATACCAGGTGCATGAGGCCTGGGGACCATCTCTGTGGAGGTACCTAATGGCAATGTACTAGCTAAGTCATCTTGACCAGTTCACTTAGCCTTGGTGATTTGCCTCATATTGCAGAATGTGGATGATAAGACCTACCTCATAATGTTGCAGTGATTCACTCAACGAGTATTTACTGAGTATCTGTTGGTGTTCTGGGTGCCAGGGATTCATCCGGATGGCCTCAGCAGAAAATACACAAGAAATATGGGTTGAGCTAAAAATCAAGGGCCCAATTAGAACAGATTTGACTGTCATCCATATTAACACTCCCAGAAAAGAGGGAGATGAGCAGAGAGAGAGAGAGAGAGACTCTTCCAAGGCAAGGCAAGAGTAGGCTGCAGGATCACCCTGTGCTGGCCGGCAGGAGCCAGGGGCTGGCATGTATCTGTTTGGCCAGATCATCTTTAAGTGGCAGTTTGAGAGTAGGCTCTCTAAGCTCTTGCACTGGTGTCATCACTTCTGGGGATTTCCTGAAGAAATCCCCAGATTTCTTGTGTGGGTAGAGGGAGCTGGTGATAAGTATTCAGCCAGGTGCATCCCAGATCCCAGGGCCTCATGGGAGGACCCGGGAGTGCTGGAACCGGCCTCCTCATACCACGGTACAGCTCTGCCTAGAGCCTCTTTCTCTGCTGAGTGGTTCTCTTAGCACAAAATGAGTGTTGTCAAAAGGGCATGTATTCTGCTTTCACTAGCTGCACAAGAGAAGAACAGCAGCTGTTGGTATGCCTTAGAACTACTCTTTTTTTTTTTTTTTTTTTTGAGACGGAGTCTCGCTCTGTAGCCCGGGCTGGAGTGCAGTGGCCGGATCTCGGCTCACTGCAGGCTCCGCCTCCCGGGTTTACGCGATTCTCCTGCCTCAGCCTCCCGAGTAGCTGGGACTACAGGCGCCCGCCACCTTGCCCCGCTAGTTTTTTGTATTTTTTTAGTAGAGACGGGGTTTCACCGTGTTAGCCAGGATGGTCTCGATCTCCTGACCTCGTGATCTGCCCGTCTCGGCCTCCCAAAGTGCTGGGATTACAGGCTTGAGCCACCGCACCCGGCCAGAACTACTGTTTAGAATACCTACCCCTTTGACAACACGTACTTCGTTCTCAACCATAAACAACCATACCCCTTGTTTATGGTTGAGAAGATGAAGGCCTGGTGGAATTAGCTTCTTGCCAGAGACTACACAGTGGCCCTAAGGACTCTGCCTTTTCCTTGGCTCTCTGAGCTTTGTCTCAGAGGTGTTTAATTGCTCCAGCCAGATCCATGTAAATAGCAAATTAAGCCCACATGGTGGCTCATGCCTGTAATCTCAACACTTTGGGAGGCTGAGGTGGGCAGATCACTTGAGGTCAGGAGTCTGAGATAGCCTGGTCAATACAGTAAAACCCTGTCTCTACTAAAAACACAAAATTTAGCCAGGTGTGGTGGCACACGCCTGTAGCCCCAGCTACTGAAGTGGAAGCTACGGTGAGCTGAGATCATGCCATTGCACTCCAGGCTGTGTGACAGAGCGAGACTCCATCTTGATAAATAAATAGCAAATTAATGTTTTAAGTGAGGTAACAATAATGGTTTACTCTGATTTAATTTACAAATAAACATGGAGTTTTTGTTTATAAATTTTCACCACTTTTAAAATCTTCAAAGGCGAATTAAAATAGTTAATATTTGTTGAGTGCTTCATATGTATTTTCTCATTTGATTTTCACAACATCCCTGTGAGTTAGATATGATTATTGCCATTTTACTGACAGAGTAAGGTTGGAGCAAGGTGGAGTAAGATGGGGTAAGGATGAGGTTAAGGGTGGAGTAAGGTAGAGTAAGGTTGGCGTATGTTGGGCTAAAGTTGGGGTAAGGTAAAATAAGGTTAGGGTAAGGTGGGATAAAGTTGAGGTAAGGCGGAGTAAGGTTGGGGTAAGGTGGGCTAAGATGAAGTAAGGTTTGGCAAGGTTGGGGCAAGGTTGGAGCAAGGTTGGAGTAAGGTGGGTAAGGTGGCAAGGTTGGAGTAAGGTTGGAGTAAGCTTGGGGTAAAGTGGGGTAAGCTTGGGGTAAGGTTGGAGTAAGTTTGGGGTAAAGTTGGAGTCAGAATGGGGTAAGGTGAGGTAAGACTGGGATAAGATAGAGCAAGGTTGGGGTAAAGTGGGGTAAGGTTGGGGTAAGGTGGCCTACAGTTGGAGTAAGGTGAGGTAAAGTGAGGGCAAGGCGAGGTAAGGTTGGGGTAAGGTGGGGGTAAGGTGGAGGGTAACTTTTAAGATGTGAGACTCTTTTTGCACGCCTTGTCTTACCCTTCTTGCTGTCCAGTAAGGAGCAGCTTTTCTCCTCAGTTTAACTGAAGTGAGCATTTGCTGGCGAAGTTGAGGGGACACGCACGTTGTGCAGCTCTGTTTGTCTGAGCTGAGGCTTGTGTTTGTCCTAGGAAGGGCCATTTGGGAGCTGTTTGAGATGGCATCTCACAGTGAGCAGAGGAGGGCACAGTCAGGGTGGTGATTGGGGTGAAAATTCTGCTCATGAACAATGATTTGGCATGTGCACAGATAATAGCTTTTCTAAATCTTGTTTTGTTTTTCTGAAAAATAAGTGACTGTAACCTGAACACCTTTGAGTTTCTCCAATGCTGGTTTAGTCTGAGGCTGGGGCCTGCCTGCCTTCCCTTTCCCTTTCTCACTGAGTGGCTGCTGCTTGCCCGTCTCTGACCTTTCAGAGTCTCAGGTCTGATGGTGGTAGAGATGGAGCACAGGTGACTGATTCAGGGGACTCAGAGACACCCCTTGGAGGCGGGACAGGAAGGGTTGGAGGTAACTGGTTTCATGTGGGCAGAACACAGGACATAGATATCCTCGTCAACCTTGGTCTTCTCTGTAGTATTTCATGCAGGGTCCTGGTCAGTAAATCTGGCCAAGTGAGTCATTTGAAAGCAGTCATGTGATCTGGGTTGATAAGTGGGTAAGCCATTGGCTTTCATCAATCTCTGAATTTATTAGTGAACTTTAAAAAAGAAACCTTTCTTGTGCTTTTAAATAATGACTTTTTTTCTTGTTTTTGTTTTTTGTTTGTTTTTTGTTTTTTGAGACAGTCTCGCTGTGTCACCCAGGCTGGAGTGCAGTGGCGCCATCTCGGCTCACTGCAAGCTTCGCCTCCCGGGTTCACGCCATTCTCCTGACTCAGCCTCCTGAGTAGCTGG